CCTCCTGCTCCTCCTCCTCCTGCTCCTCCTCCTGCTCCTCCTCCTCCTGCTCCTCCTCCTCATTCCATTGTCCTCTGAATGTGAATGCTGAAGGATTTTCCACAGAAGGCTATGGTGGAGAAACAGAAGGAGGGGCCCTGGGCACCAGGACAGAGGTCCAGACGTTAGACAGGGACCCAAAGGTCTCAGCCTTGGCAGATGTGGAGAGAGACGAGGCCCAGAGTGCCCCTGAGGTCCCTCGGGTGCTGTCTTGCTTTGGTTCTGAGCTGAGCCCAAGGCAAGGATCCAGTGTGAGTGCCGCTGCGTCTGGGCGGTGTAGGCCGCCCTGGCAGGGAGGGTGAGTGGCCAGCTCAGGCATGCCAAGGACAGAGGAAGCGCAGCCCGGGCTCCTGGGACTGTGAACCAGTTGGGACGAGCCGGAGGACTTGCTGTGTGGGAGGAGCGAGGGAGCAGGGCTTAGAGTGACAATTCTGCATCTGTTTGAGGTTGCTCCGGAGCGTGCTGCATGCTCGGCACCTCCACTGCAGGCAGGAGCAGGGTCCCAAAAGCCAGCAGTGCCCTAGGGCAGAGAAGCAGTGCTGACCTGCATGTGCAGGGGCAGGAGCTCCCAGAGAACTCTTCCCTGTTGTGCTTTAGATGGAGAGTGGCCCTCGGGTGCTTGGAGGCAGGCTCCTGGGAAGTGACAGGATCATCGGGCTGTGGCTGACTTCCTGCCAGGAGGCGGGCTCTGGTGGAAGAGGCGTGGCCTGGAAGGGCTCCTCCCTCCTGTCCACTTCCTGTTCACCATGCCCTGAGCAGCTCTCCTCTGCCAGACCCTTCCACGGTGCCTTCCTTCACTGGAGCCCCACCAGCCACGAACCGAAATGAAACTCTCCGCCCTAAGTTGTGGGTGCCTGGTACTGTGTCTTAGTGAGGAGGAGGTGACTAAGCCAACCCCATCTTCGGGTTTGGTACAGTCTTCCTCACTCCTCAGAGCCACCTCCTGGCAGTACAGGCAACAAGGACTCAGCCCTAGCTGGCCTGAACACACAGCAGAACTTATCAGCTCCTGTCCAGACATCTGCACCTTCAGGTACAGCTTGATCCAGGTGCCCACACAATGGCATCAGAAAGCTGTCTTTGGTTGCCGGCATTTCCTTAATCTGGGGCTTTGGAGAGTCACTGCTGCTCCGCGTACCCCCTCCCCCATTCCTTTCCTCCCTCTGGAACTCCTGGCAGGCAGTGTTGGAAATCCCGTCCTTTCCATCATTCTCTGGATGTGAATTCCGCATCTTTTGTTTATTTTACATTCTGAGGAAATGTGTTGGCTTTGTCTGCATACACTAACTCTTCCCTCTGTGTGTAATCTGCTCCTTAAACATCCCTTGAGTAATTAATTTCGGTCGCTGTTTTTCATTTCCCAAAGTTATTCAGTTCTTCGCAGACTCTTTTGCCATTCACTTCTGCCTTTTCAGTGTGGTTTCTCCTGTCTTACTTCCTCCTCATTATTTTTCATGGGTTCTTGCCCTTCCAGTTGATGTCGTTTTGTGTCCTTTTCCAATTCCGTCCTCTCAGATGTCAGCCCGCCCCCTTCCTGCATGCATTCTCCGTGACTCTCATGGACACTGCCCTCGAGGGAAGTGATCTTCTCTCCTCAGGAGGAAGAGAGGGCCACGCCACAGAGCTCTCCTGCGTCCTGTGTGGTTTGGCGTGGCTTCCCATGTGCATTGCATGGCGTCAGCCTGTGCCACCGGGCAGGACAGGCAGAAGTGTGGGGCCAGGGCTCACCCTGTGCTGGAGACGCCACCCGGGCTCAGGATGCCGAGCAGCACTGCTGCCCCTGCCTGCATGAGTGGGAGCCCTCGCTGCCCCTTGGCTGGATCCCCCGGGCTGCAGCAGCAGGGTCTAAGGCGGATGTGGTGTGAGAGGCAGGCGGGGAGTGGACATGCAGGGGGCAGGACATGGACGTCCTGTGGCAGGCTGACTGCTGGGCCGGGCACTGGCCGCCCTGGGGTCTCTGGCATCATGGTCACCAGCAGGGCTCTGGGCTCTGGAAGCTTTTGCTGGCCCCGCTTTACCACAGGGGTATGATGCGCCTGTCTTGGGAGAGGGAAGAGTGAGCAGCAGCCCCTTGTGAGTGCCCAGTGAAAATCAGCTCGTCCTGGTTGTCAGAATTACAGGCCTGGCGTGGTGACACACACCTGTAATCCCAGCCCTCAGGAGGCTGAGCCGGGAGGACTGCTGTGAGTTCCAGGCTAGCCTGGGCTATGTAATGAGCTCAGTCTGGACTTGCACTACAAGGCCAGAAAAACAAAGAGAATCACAAACAGCCCATCTGTGCCCCGGAGGAAATCGCCCGCCCCCTCCCTGGGCTCTGTCCTTGGTGCTGAAGAGCTGAGCACTGAGCACCACGCCCCAGCCGCAGCCAGGAGTCCGCCTGAGTCCACAGCGCAGGGGCCGGTCCTCCCAGGGCTCTGAGCTCGCCAGGGGCCACCACTGACTGGGGAGGAGGCGGGCAGGGGCCACTGGTGCTTGCTGAGGCCTGGCCTGGGCCAGAGGATGGGGTCAGGTGGCCCGGCCCCGGCCCGTCTCGCAGTGGGACTTCGTGTGGCCTTGTGATGCCGGAAGAACAGCAGCAGACCCTTTCCTGGAGTGGGGCCCTTACCCCGGCCTGAGCTTCCAGTTTGCTTCCGACGACTTTCATGCTGAGCCAGCCGCCAGGGGGCGCGGCATAGGGTGTGCAGCTGTCAGGGTGGAGCTGGCCAGGGCAGCATGAGCTTGCTTTCTGTCTCTGGGAGCAGGGGAGCATTTGGGCCTGAACCCTCTCGGGTGCTGCATCCCCGACCCCTGCCCCAGCCTTCGTCATCACAGACCTGTCCCAGGGCACAGGTCAGTGTCTGCAGGGGACGAGACAGCGGGACGTGTGTGCACCCAGTTCCTCCCTGGTGAGCACCTTGCCAGAGCTGCTCCAGCTTAAAATGACATTCCTGACCTTAGTGCAAACCTGCCTCCTTCCCCACGGGCATGGGCCACCGGCTCTGCTTAGGGTCCTGCTCAGTTCCTTTGGCCCCACTCCACAGGCCCCCTAGAGGAAGGCCTTTCTCTGCTGGCCCTGACTGCCTCTCTCCCTGCAGGAAGCCGTGGTCAGCACCTGGCTGCAGTTCAGCGATGGCTCGGTGACGCCCCTGGACGTCTACGACAGCAAGGACTTCTCCCTCACCGCCACCTCCCTGGACGAGGCCGTCATTTCCATCCCCCAGCCGCGCTCTCCTCTGTGGCCCATCGTGGTGGCCGAGGGGGAAGGCCAGGGCCCGCTGGTCCGCGTGGACATGAGCATCGCCGAGTCCTGCCAGAAATCCAAACGCAAAAGTGTGCTGGCCGTGGGCTTTGGCCACGTCAGGGTCAAGTTCGGGCAGAGCGATGCAGATGCCAGCCCGACGTGGGGCACTGAGGAGGAGGAGGAGGAGGAGAAGGAGGAGGAGGAGGAGGAGGAGGAGGAGATCGAGAACCACGCCAGCGACCGCAGGCAGAGGGGCCAGGAGGGGCGACTGCTGAGCGGCTCTGCCGGGGCGCTCGAGGAAGGGGCGCTGCGGAGGGCCACTCCCACGGCCAAGGCGCAGCCGGACCCCAGCGTGGGGAAGAGCAGCCGGCTGGATGGGGCCCAGCTGTCAGGGGAGGAGCCGCTGCAGAACATCCCTCTGGACTTCACCAACTTCCCCGGGCACCTGGACCTCCCGCGGGCTGGGGCTGGGCTACAGGGCGGCGGCCTGGTGCCCACGGCTCGAGGCCTGAGCGACCTGGAGATCGGGATGTACGCGCTGCTGGGCGTCTTCTGCCTGGCCATCCTCGTCTTCCTCATCAACTGCGCCACCTTCGCCCTGAAGTTCAGGCGGAAGCAGGTGCCGCTGGAGGGCCAGGCCTCTGGGCCACACTCGCACGACTGGGTGTGGCTGGGCAACGAGGCCGAGCTCCTGGAGGGCGTGGGGGGCCCCACGCCACCCCCTGATGAGCACACGACCGTCCTAGACCACGGCCCGGGGGGCGGCAAGGAGAGCGACCAGCTGCTTGTCGGCGGGGGCAGCACCCAGCAGCAGGTGCTGGGCCAGGTGCACTGGGCAGTGGACACCGGGGCTGGGCAGGAGCCAAGCTCTCCAGCCTCCCGCAGGAAGAGGGTGCAGTTTGCCGCCTTCCCCGCCGGCCCGGCCACCTCCATCCTGGGGGCGCACTAAGTGGGAGTGTCCCCAAAGAGCTCAAACTCTCTGGAAAGGTTCCCGGGCGGTGTGGACCTCAGCTGGGCCCAGGGCAGGGTCTGGGCCGGGGTCCACAGGTGTGGGAGCCGGGGCGGGACGCTCTGCAGGAGGGACGCTTCCCAAAGCTGTCCTCTGAGTGCCGGGAGGCGGGGTGGGGACAGAGACGCTGGACCGCAGCAGAATTCGGAAGCTTATTTTAGGAATCAACACATCATGCAGCTACCAAAAATTATTTGTTAGAAAACACAGAAAAAGACAAATAAAAAGAGACAAAGAATGATCTGTTTATATTTCTAATAAAGGAGCAAAGTGCAAAAGGAGGCCCTGCTTGGAGCCATGTTCCATTTTAATGCAGTATCCGCTGTCCCGAGGGCCTTTGCCTGCTGAGGGCCTTTCTGGATGCCGTGCCCTCTTGGAACGGCGCTAAAATGAGGTTTCTGTTTTCCCTGGATGACCTCTCTGTTTCCTCCTGCTGTGTCCTAGGCTTCTATTTGGTTTACATTCAAGGTTTATTTCCGAGACCAAGTGGTATATTTTTCCCAAATGAGCTGTAAGTTGCATCCTGTTCATTAGATGGCTTATTTCTAGAAACAATGCCAATTAGCCATTAAGCTGTGATCTTAATGCTTTTCTATGTCTTCCAGATTTTTTGGTATTTGGTAGCATTTGCAGTTGAGGCAGTGACCCTGCCCCACACCCCACAAGGCCATGGTCAGTGGGAAGGGGCCCTGCTCGCTGCCCCCAGGACATGGCCAGCGGATCAGAGCCCAGCTGGCCTCCTGACCACTCGGCGCCCCGTGCCTGTGGCGTCCGGGCCGAGTGCCCAGGGCCAGGCCAGCTCCCAGCGTGACAGCCCCCAAGAGCAACCCCGCCCGGTGAGTGGACAGCCGCGGAGCTCTGAAGTGTTTGGGGGCCATGAGAGCCTCTGTGGCTTTGTGAGGCTCGGTGCATGGGCGACGCACAGGGTGAACAGTCAGCCCGGCAGGCGGCTCTGGCCCTGGTTGGCCCAGCCTCGCAGCAGGTCGTTCCAAGAGTGCTGTCCCTGTCGGCAAAGTGCCGGGAATGGAACCGCGCGTCCCCGGCCCAGCAGGGCGGGGCTCGCAGGGCAGAGGCACCGTCACTGCTCATTTTCCATGACCGAAGTCGGTAAGCAGAGGTCCCTGAGGCTTTGCCACCTCGGTTGGGCCTTTTGAGAATATATTTGCAGCCCTGTTTGAGGTGCAGAGGAGGTATTTATTTATGCCTGTGATGCCCATTGTCATTAAAAGGCTTCCGTGGCTGACCCTCGGCATGCCCTGGGTGTCTTCCGCTCTCAGTCCCGGCCCCAGCCTGACACAGTCTGCTGGAGGGGAAGACAGTGCCAGTTCCCACTGCACCTGGGTTTTGCTGGTCGAGTCGTTCCTGAGGAGGAAACTGAGGCCCCGCTGTCACCAGCGAGCTCAGTCACTGCACGGCGTGGTAGAGCCAGGCACTGGCCCTGCTGCCAGGTGCCTGAGCCTGCTGGACCGCGCGTGACTCCAGAGCTGCCCCTCAGCAGCTTCCCAGGTGCACTTTGAGCCGCAGTGGACGTCGGCAGAAGGCAGCCTGGTGGTGACCAGGTCTGTCTGGGGAGAGGTGGCCGCCGTCACCAGAGAATTCGCCATCATTGCGTGTTCGGGGCCCGGGCATCAGTGTGGCTGGGGTGGGGAGCAGTTCGGGGTAGAAGGAAAGAGGCTTGCTTTGTCCTCTAATGGTTTTATTGAGACGTCATTCATAAAATTGATCCATGGACATCGGGCGTGATGCACACACCTGAGACCCCAGCCCACCAGGAGACTGAGGCAGGAGGATCGAAAGCTTGAGTTCTGCCTGGAACTCAGTGAGGCCCTGTCTTAAAATAAAAATAGCAAGAAAGGGCTGTGGAAGGCCCTGGGTTCAACCCAGTACTGCTGAAAAACCAAGAGACCCTTGGGCAGTAATCCAGTTCAGTGTTTTCAGGCTCTTCACAGAAGGGTGCATCCTGGGTCACAGGAGGGTGCATCCTGGGTCACAGCAGTTGTAGGGCATCCTCATGGTCCCATGGAGAAACCACCCTCGTGAGCTGCCTCCCCACTGCCATCACCACCCCCCTGCCGGGAAGGGCCGTGTGCTGAAGGCGACCTGACCCCAACCCGGGGCCCACACTGTGATTGCCTTCTGTCCCCCCAGCCCAGCGTCTGTGGCTCACGGGAGGCCTTCTGGGTGGGTGTGGCATCTGCCCCTTTGCACCCCTCGCTGGCCGGATTCACATTTCCTGGGAAGACTTCCACATGGAGTGAACCTCAAGGCGGGATCAAAACACACAGCGAATGCTTGAACTTCTAAAATGTATCACAGTGAAAGACATGTTGTCATGAATCCCTCTCAAAATCCTCCCCCTTGCTCCAAACACACTCATCTCTCTGTTCTTGCCACTTTCTGAAGCAGCTCTGGAGTCCTCTTTTGAGTGTCTTTACAAGGTGTGATCAAAAATGTGGTGACTGCTGCTGGTGAGCGCCACCTGGCGGGAAGGCAGGCACAGAAATCATTATAGTGCATCCCCACCCACCTATGCTCCAGGTCTGCCACCATGTGACTTCTGGCTCTTCCTCAAAGTCAGAAGACCACGAAAAAGAAATGTTTTGAATCTGTTCAGGACATGAAGGCAGCCAGGACAGCACAACTACAGACACTCAGGAAAGAGGACCCCAGAGCTGCTGCAGAAAGTCTCCCAAGACTGCAGCCTTAATTCACCGGTGAGCAACAGCCTTACATGTATTCATTGTGTTAAAATGGAATGCAGTTACCAGGCGTGGTGGTGCACACCTGTAAACCCAGCATTCAGGAGGCTGAAGCAGGATGATCACCATGAGTTCAGGGCCAGCCTAGGGCTACATAGTGTGACTCTGTCTCAAAAAAAAAAAAAGAAAAATAGAATGCAACTGACATAAGAGTGATTCACATTCATTTCATAAAATTTAGAACATGAAGAAAAGCAGGACAGATAAAGAAGGAACATTAAAAACAAAATAACTCCTCCCAGAAATAAAAATGAACACTTCCTCTTATATATCAATTAGTTTATTTAATTTGCCTGCTCACTTCATATTTTGAAAGCGTATTATTATAAATATGACTTCTAAATTTAAAAGCAGCCCGTGGGCACCCTGACCCTAAAGTGCACAGAGCTTGCTGCTTCACCACCTCTGCTGTGCTTCAGGCCATCCTTGCAGGTTTCTCTGCGAGGTCTTCTTTTTCTCCCACAGCGAAATCACAGGGAAGTGGGTGGTTTGTGAGCACAGCACCTGGGGAAGGTCCACAGCCCTGGAGGGGGTGGCAGGGCCTTGGTGTCTGCCCACCTGGGAGGCTGGGAGCTGCAGGCCGAGGGGCTCCATCCACGAAGCCCAGGCCTGCAGAGACGCCGACGCCACTCAGGCGCTGAGGACGCGGCAGCAGCTGCTGGCCCTCACCCATGGGCACAAAGCCGGGGCCTCTGGTCCCATGACAGCGGAAGCTCTGTGTGCCCCCGGCAGCTGCTGCCCCATGGACCCACACCACCTGGGTGGAGAGGCTGAGCCGGAAGCACCAGCCCAGGGCATCGGCCAGTCACCAGGTGGGTGACAGAAGTCGGGGCCCGGACTGTAAATGTGGTGAGGACAGGAACCCCAGGCGGAGGATGCTCGGGAGGAACAGGAGGAGGCCTCGCTGCCGTGACACCACGCGCTTTGGGAGAATGTGAGACTCCGTTTCCCAGAGTCAGGCAGATTATGACATCGTTTCAACTTCTTTCCTATCGACCAAAACGTTCCGTCCAGAAAACCGTTTTTCTCTCTCCTCTCAAAGAAGGCATTTGGGTGGAAAGAAATTACCAGACTGTGGGATTTCATTGATTTTTTTGAAATCCAGGTTACATGAGAGGTCACGATTTCCATTTTCTCCCATCCGTGTCGTCTTCCGAGGGGACCTGCGACAGGGAGCTCGTCCACTTGGACCTGGCAGACACAGGATAGGGCTGGTGTCCCTTCCGCCCCGGAAAGAGGCCACTGTGACGGAGATGGCGTGGTGACCCTGGATGGGCAGGATGGCTGCAGCAGGCAGGGGCCTGCATACGTTCATCCAGTCACTCAGCAAACACTTGAGGCCTGAGCTGTGCCTGGGACGCCTGTCTGCGTGACTAGGATGACAGAAGCGAGAGGCGGGGTCCCTCCTGTGGCTCTCACACTCCCGGGGGCACAAAGAGATGAAAACAGCGACACAGCCGGGGAGCGAGCAGGAGGAAGGGGTCCTAGTGCGCCCTCTGCAGGGTGCGAGAGCCCTAGAGCGGATGAGGGCAGAGGGAGAGGCCGGTGCCCAGGGGCGGCAGCATGGGGAGCACTGTCCTGTGGCCTCCGGGAGATGAGCAGCACCCCGAAAAGTCCCAGGACCAAAAATAAAAAGCGCATGGTCGCCACCTCCATGGGTCACTCTCGGGCAGGCGCAGCAGAGCAGCTCTCGGGGCAGGCGGGACCCGGCCTCCTGACCACGTGGCAGCCCAGGCTCACGGCCCACACAGGCCGCCCGCAACTGCGTCTCCCTCCAGACCCCAGATCTGGGGTCAGGTGTCCCGCAGCCCTGTGCCACACTGGCCCTCATGCGGAGCGGGTTCCCGCCCCCTGGCCACCTGCAGCCTCTCCGCTCTCCAGGTCCAGCTGTGACACCACCAATTCTCACCAGGGACAGTGCATGGGCAGCCGGAAGTCAGCCGCGTGTGACAGGGACTGGCCTGCGTCACACTGGACATGCTGCCCGCGTTCCTTTCCTGCAGCCGCCAGGGCAAATTAGCAGGGCGGAGGTGACAGCGGGAACCTGGCCTCTTCCGCTCTGCAGTCCAGCACTGTGGGCGGACACTCGCCTCCAAGGGCAGGGCAGGATCCACTGCCTCCGAGGCCCTGCAGGCTCTGAGGTCCTAGGGCCTCTGTGCCTCCTCCACTCCTCCCGTGAGGAACCCGGGCCTCGGATTTCGGGCTCAGCGGATCCAGTGCAGCCAGTTGACCATATTAGTTAATTATACCTGCAAAGGCTCCATTCTCAAGCCCTGGGATGTGAGGACAGGACTCGGAAAGGGTGCCCTTCACCCGGAGCAGCCGCTGGGGCTTGGTGAGCCTCGCCCTGGAGACTGCGCCTCGGTTCTCCAAGATACATCACCTGTTCCCAGATCCTTGTCCCAGGTTCAGCTTATGGAGGACTTCAAGCAAAGACACAGGACAGCCAGGGCTGGACAACAGATTAACAGGAAGAAAAAGAGCCAGGCACGGTGGTGCACACTTGTAATCCCAGCACTCAG